TGCATAATTTACTTGTAATCTTGAATTTTAAGTAAACATTGATTTTATGTGATTTTGAGAAAGTGGTAATATTTTTATTTTTGAATAAAATGTAAATTTAAAAATATCATAAAATTTTGAAAAAAAATATCGATATCAGTATTAAATTAATCTTTTTAAAAGTTATTGTGTTTTGGTGTTATTTCTTTAATTAAATTCTGTTAGTTATCAATGATTATCATAATTATATTTTAGATTTTTTATATTTAAAATAAGATATTTATCCAATATTTGATTATGTTTATCTGCAGTTAGTTAAACGAATTCAAGTATGGAGCTTTAATAAGTTATACTTATGCATAATTTACTTGTAATCTTAAATTTTAAGTAATATGCATTAATAAATGTTGGTCCCAAAAGGGTCTACAAGAATACTAAACAGTTTGTGGAAGGGGGGGATGAATACAAACACAGAGTTTTCAAATTTAAAATATATATTGATAGAGAAGATCAATACAGATTTTACAAGATTGTTTGCGGAAAATATAAGGTAAAAGAAACCTATCTAAACAATCTTAAGTTACACACAAAGGTTAGCAATTACAATAAAAGAGATTGCTAAAAGAAAATATATTTTACTTTAAGCTGAAAGAAGCTTGAAGTAAGAATGAGGAGAGAGAGTGATGCATGCACTCTGCATGGAGAAGAAACACTTCTATTTAAACCCAGTGCATTAAATGTCCATTTAATGCAGTAAAGTAAGGTTTAGAGTGCGTGGCAAGCCTTAACAGGAAGGCTTGTCCTTTGTTACAGTGAATAGTATAAAAGCACTATTCATGAACAGACATCCTTACCTAAAGTTGGTGGACAAAGAGTCGACTAATCGGCTCCGTACCGTACTATCTTTAGTAAGGATATGGGTTTGTCCTTTTGTGTGTGCAAGGACAAAACAACAATAATCGTGCTAAGCAAGCTTCATTTGATCGCTGAATGCTGGAATGACCTGAAGGTCTCATCATCATTCGCTGAAGCTAGAGCAGTCTTCACACATAGTTAGACAGGCTTGTAATCACT